CCCCCCCTTGCCGCCCCTTTGCTCCTCCGGCGCTCGCCTGACTGAGAGACAGAGGCCCCTTCGTGGTGATGTTACTGGTTCTCCTCGGCCGCTGGGTCGCGGCACGTGCATTCATCCTGGTCACAGTCAGCAGCAAACGGGATCACCTGGGGGGATGACCAAAGAGAGATCATAGAATCATTTAGGTCGGAAAAGACGTTTAAGGTCATTGAGTCCAACCCAGCAATGCCAGGTCCACCACTAAACCATGTCGCTCAGCACCACACCTACGTATCTTTTAAATACCTCCAGGGACAGTGACTTCACCACCTCCCTGGGCAGCCTGTTCCAGGGCTTAACAACCCTTTTGGTGAAGAAATGTTTCCTAGCATCCAACCTAAACCTCCCCTGGTGCAGGTTGAGGCCATGTCCTCTCCTCCTATCGTTTGTTACATAGGGGAAGAGACCCACCTCACTACAGCCTCCTTTCAGGGAGTTGCAGAGAGCCATAAGGTCTCCCCTTGGCCTCCTTTTCTTCAGGCCAGTTCCCTCAGCCACTCCTCACAAGACACGCTCTCCAGACCCTTCACCAGTTTCATTGCCCTTCTCTGGACCCACTCCAGCACCTCCTTGTCTTTCTTGTCTTGAGGGGCCCAGCACTGAACACAGTATTCGCGGTACAGCTCCATCAATGCCGAGCACTCTGCTCTGACAGCCCTGGCTCCCCTTTGCCTCTGCAAGCCCCCACTATGGACAGACAGACACTGTGGGCTGTGGCCTGATGCTGCTGGACTAGTGGAGCTCCACGGTTGCTGAGAAATGAGCTCTCTGATACAAGCCGTCCCCATCTGAGTTTTATTCTTTGCATTCTTTTTTTCTGTTAACTTGTGTTTCAAATTTTGCAACCAAGGGTCAGCTTGAGTCTCGTGCCCCAAACGTCAAACCCTGAGAAGAAGCACCCACTGGTGGGTGTGAGACATTTGGGCTAGAACTGCATGTGGTGAGGCACCTCTAGATTTCAGTTTTACTTCGGCCCCTGTTAGAATGCCCTATTGTCCATGTCTGAGCCCATGGACCTGTCCTTCAAGCTAGCAAAGCATGCAGGTAGGATAGCCTGTGGCCAGGTACACTTCTGTCACCTTCACTGGTGGCAGCAGAGCAAGGTGGAAGGGCACCGGCAGAGTATCTGGCTCCTGGCTGACAGTTGCCCAGTCATGAGCCATGTGAGCTAACAGTTTCTTCCAGAGGTTTTATAAACACTAGGCTCAGAGACAGGAGTGTTTCTTACTATGGAAGCGGCCCTGTGAGATGTTGGAGTGGGGTTTTTTTGCATGCCCATGTTCCAGCATCTGCCTTAACAGAGACGTGCTGGAGGCTTGTGCTGGGGGACATCTGGGACCTGTGGGGGGAATGAGCTGGGGCTGGGTCTCCTGAGAGCTGTGGTACTGAATCCCCCCACCTTCCACTGCAAACCCATTCTTTATTTTGGCCAGAGATCTGGATGTCTCAGACCTCCCGAGAGCCATGCCTTGCTCTGAGATGTCATGATATCGCTGTGGAGGTTTCACTCATCACTTGGGCGTAAAGCCTTTTCTCTCCTATCTCAGATGGATCTTCCCAGGATTTTATTTTTCCTTTTCTCTGTGCGTGTATGTGTGATGAAAGGAAAAATGATTCAAGCTCCACAATCAAGATGAGAAGATCCAAATTCACATATTTTTGCAGTGAGAAATTATCTCATGCCCTATGATTTGTTTTGCTGTTGGATATGCTTGGGAAGGATGGACTGTGAGTGCCGGATAGCAAGTTAGGTGGGAGGGGAGGTGGTGATGGGAGACAAAGAAGGGTCTGTGCAACCCTGACGCCAAGTTGCTCCCTCTATGCTATTCCCTCCCAGGAGAACTGGGAAGGAAAGACAGCCCACAGCAGACACCAATGGATCATACGAAAAAAAAATCCCCTGAGATTGCTCAACTGTACCACAAGGTGACTTCTGACTCATGGCTAGCACTACATCCTATGGAAGTCATTTCTTTGGGCCTTGATTCCCAAACTGAGAGGGAATCCTGTGAGCTTCAGTGGGAGCTGGGCAGAGCTTTCAGTCCTGTTGGCCCGAGCCCAAACCCTGCTGTTAATCATAGGGCTGATGTCTATCAGCTTCAGCTGGCTTTGCTTTAAAAACATGGGTTTGTCCTCGGTTCATGGGAGAATCTCATCACAGGCTCGGTTCCACAGCCAGCAAAGCCAAAGAGCATGGGTAGCACTCACCACTTCGTACTAAATCCTGGCCAGCATCACAGAAGATGCTCACTTACCTTCCTGGAGGACAGTGTGGAGGAGCAGCAGTCACCTCCGTCATACTGGCAGTATGCCCGGTTGTTGATGGTGTCACACCAGCCGTCTGCTTGGAAGGGCTAGGCAGAGGAATGAGTCTTTGGTGAAAGGGTTACTGAAAAGCATAAAGTTTTCCCCAAAAGCAGAGATTCCAGGTCCTCAGCAAGGCCCCCATGCACCTCCGCTAAGGGCCAAGGCCCAGTTCCACCACACACAACCCCCTTTTCAAAGCCAAAGGGCACCGGAAGACTGGGATCCCGGCTGGAAGAGTGGGTGCTCAGAGTGCAGCAGCTGTAGCTTGAGAATGAGAGAATTGTATCAGGAAGCGAAAAAGCAAATCCACATCGCTAGAGAGAGGCCCAAGCTGAATGGCACAAGTCCCCACGCCCGCCTCGCTCAGTGCTTCTCCACAGAGTCTCTTGCCACCCAGCTAGGAGTCAGGTCACCACCTCACAGAATCACAGAATGGCTTAGGTTGGAAGGGACCTTAGAGATCATCTAATCCAACCTTCCTGCCAGGGGCAGGGACACTTCTCAACCAGACCAGGTTGCTCAGTGCCTCATCCAACCTAGCCTTGAACATCTCCAGGGAGGGGGCATCCACAACTCCTCTGGGCAATTTATTCCAGAGTCTTGCCACCCTTGTGCTAAGATTCCATCTAAACCTATTCTCCTTCAATTTAAATCCATTTTCCCTTATCCTGTCACTGGACACTCTCGTGCAAAGTCCCTCCCCAGCCTTCCTGTAGGTTCCCTTCAGGTATTGGAAGGCAGTTATAAGGTCCCCCCAAAGTCTTCTCTTTTCCAGGCTGAACAATCCCAGCTCCCTCAGCCTGTGCTTGTAGCAGAGCTGCTCCAGGCCCTGGATCATCTGCTCATCCACCTTCCCACACCACTGTCACACGTGTCCACTACAATTCACTCTGCACCTTCACAGCTGGGGGAGGGCTCTGTAAGAGGCTGACCGAACTCTTCTCTCCAAATACCAAAGAGATCCTGGCTCTGAAGTTGTGTTTGGTGACCTGGCTTAGGCAGTTAAGTCCAGAGAGGATGCTGTGAGGATTCATAGAGCATCCTTCTAGAGGATCAGTCTCAGGAAGGCAGGTGCTTTATCTCCCTTGGACTACAAGAAAGATTCAGCAAGGCCAGGACTCTCCCCAGAAGCACTCAAGCCAAGCCAAGCATTGGCAAGCACTGGTTTCAAGGAATACGCCTTTTCCAAAATGCTCTTGCTCTGACCCTGAGGAATATTCCCCAGATGCCTCTAGACTCTCTACTGGAGGCTCTAGGCCTGTCCACTGCACATGGCCCCACCAAACTTTGCCAGGTTGGACTACAAGGCTGCTTATCTGGTGGCCAGTTAGGACAAACAGAAGGGATCTTCATTAAGCACCAGCTCCCTGCAGGCAAAACCCAGTGGAGAGAGCACCAGCCTACTGACAACCAGAAACATTGGCAATGTGGCTACCTTCCAGCTTCAGTCTTGGCCATCTTTTTTCCCCTCATTTCTCTTTTTCACAGCCCAAATCTCACTCTCTGTGTGAAAACTGTATGGCTGACCAGCGGAGGGCTTCACATTGCCAAAACAATCGTGGCTCCTCTTCGCATGGCACAGCCTGGTGCCCTTTGCTGTCCTCCTGCAAGTCACCACCAGGTCTGCCTGGGCAACTGGGGATTTGCAGAGCCCAGCTTGCCTCGGTGCAGCTCAGATAAATGCTTCACCGCTAACAAGCTGCCTTTACTTTCAGTTCTGACACGGACATGGAAAGCTGTTGCAGCAGAACAGCTTTCTGTCCAGAAATGTTAACTGGCACGAGCGGCCATTCAGAAATCCATTTTATTGTTGTTTAGCAGCATGAGTCATCTGATCAGAGAAGAGAAACAAGCAACGAGAACTGAGAAGCAGCCAACTACGGCTGAGGAACGATGCTGTGTGACTGGTGAAACCAAACGACGTGCACTCGAAGCACTTGCAATGAACCACCAGGAACGATCTGCAGCTGAGCTTTATTTATCACAGATACGTGTCAGCACTGCCAAGCAACAACCAAATGTGCTAACAGAACGGAGAGGCCATTCATTAATCAGGTGATTAGCAATGAAATGCTTCTCCTGCTCTGGGCTCTGCAGTGGGAGCTACTGGCCCAGCAGCCCTGGCCAGCCTCCAGGACTGCTCTCGTCAGAATGGGCTCTTGGTAGAAATCTGGCCACCCCTTTGCTCATGGAAGCAGAGGACCCATTTCACTAGATCTCGTGGCCCCAGACAACAGCTGGGCTTCAGAAAATACCTGGACTCAGCCTTTGATGGACACTTGCCTGTAGCATCCCTAAACTAAACAGCTGCCTGCTGAAAAATGTCACCGCACCACAACAGCCCTGCATCCTCCAGGCTGAAGCCAACAGGTGGGACTGGCGATAACGCCAATAATTCATACGAGAAAGCCATGCCAAAAGCAGGGAAGCGAGGCTGCTTTTTGTCATCATGACTCGCGAAGAACAGAAATGGGATCAGGGCAGGCTAATGTCACTTTCAGAAGTAGCAGTAAGGATTATGGCAAACCACCGAGTCCAACTGTGTTATCAGTATCACAGTCCTCCAACCAAATATAGGCATTTGCTTGGAATATCTTGCAAGAGAAGAAGAGCGAGTGCACCTTCCTACAGCTGGGAAACTGAGGCACAGCTGGGTTAGGTAGCTCACTCAAAAACACAAAGGGATTTAGCTCCCATGATTGTTGTCCCAGATCACGTCCACGGGAGACCAGGGTGCAATTTCACCGAGGCAATAGGGTTAACACTCTCCTTCCATTCAAAAGCATCAGTGGGTCTTAAATGATGGTGATCAAAGAAGGTTTCCGAGCTACAAAGCAGCTTTGAGCTACCCAGAGGGCCAGGGCAAGGATGCTGGGGCTGCTCATGGCAGGGATGCAGGCAGAGGAGTGTAGGGCCACTGGCAGGGAAGAGGTCTTCTGGGCGTGATTTGCTTTTGCAGTCCTTCCGCACGGTGGAGATTTTCCTTGCGCTTTGCTCCATATGCCATGACTCACCAGCAAAACAACAGCCGCCGCTTTGGCAGTTTCCATACCGTTATGGGGAGGTTTGCCCATCCTGGCTGCATGGGTCTGAAACGACTTCCAGATCTTGCGTGCAAGATTGGGGGAGGACTGAGGCAGGGACAGGACAGGGAAGGAGAGGCTCTCAGCTTCTCACTGCACCTGTTTGGGTTATTTGCCCCCTCCTCTCAACTCGCCGGAGCCCGTACCCCACCCTAAACAAATACAAGCTCCTATGGCAACACTTGTTGGGGAAACTTAACAACTCATGCTCCGAATTACGTTGGAAAAACATGTGAGGGGAAAATAAAAAATGACTAATTGGACTCGAGGTGCAGGTCTCAGGGACTGCTGGAGAACACGATGACTCCCATCTCTTCACCTTGTCAAGATTCTCCAGCTGATTTCCTCTTTGAAGCAGAAAAAACAAATTAAGGTGCTGGTGTGTCACCCTTGAGGGCACAAGTGCTCTCCTGTATGCATCACTCTCCTTTTGGTCTTCCAGGAGTCACAGCAGGGAAGGATGAAGATGATATGAGAGAGGAAAACCCATGCAGACTCTCCTCAGCCTGTGCTTGAACCATGTGGCTCTGCAGAAAGCTATGCCAGCAGCGGGACAAGGGAGGTTGGCCCATGTTGGTGACTCGCAAAAACACAAAATGATGTTTTAAAATGCTGGCAGGAAAAAAAACCTACACCAATGCCCAACTGTGCCACACAGGGGTGATGGATGTGATCGGGGCAATGGCCAGCTGTGTTTTGGTTGCCAGAATACGCATCCTACAGCATGGGGAGCTGGGAAAAGGCTCCTTGAAACAGCTTGTATAAAATTTGGAAAAAACGAGTAAAATAATTGTTGCGACTGCTCCACACCGCGTTAGGGAGCTGCTTGGCCAGGCGGCACACACCCAGGCAGCCGGGCTGTGTCAGCGAATCTCCCCACTCGCACCATCCATCTTCCTTGTTTGTGCAGACGGGAGCTGCAGCGGGACGTGTGTCAGCACGTGGAGGTGCAGCATCTGGCACCGTCGGCGTAAAAATAGTAACCGCGAGTCAAGTGCTTGGCGATTTAAATAGGCTAAAACAACATAAGCTCTCAAAGCCGGGAATAGGCACGAGTTAATTTCCCCTGTCCCAACGGAGTCTCTGGGGCCAAGCTGGCTGGTTCCCTCCTTGGGGCTGCCATCCTGCCCGGCGGGGACCCCCCAGGGCCATCAGCGAGGCGGGCAGGGTCTGGATGCTTTTCTTCAAATCCACCTTCTCTGTAGGTTGCTTCACTATGAAAGAGCATTAAAGGGTGCAACAGAGTGAATGAAAAATGAAGCACGAAGAATAAATCACAGATGCCATCAGGATTGTACATATTTTGGTGCTGCATTACAGGCATTTGATGATCATTATTTCCCAGGAATGCAGGTTTTTCCTCTTGCTGAGCAGACCTCAAGGCCCAGTAGCTTGCTTTTGGCAATGACTCCATTCCAGATCCTTCGGAGGAAGGTGGAAAAAAAGGAAAAAAAATTCAGCGTGCACCTGGCCAACGGTGTAACTGAAGACTCGAAAGACTCCTGCGCTGCTGCTGCAACAGAAAGCACTTATGATTTCAGCCCAGACCCCAGTTTCAGGGAATCAAGTCCAGCCTAAATAAGTGAAATTGTTCCCCCCAGTCTTTGGGAGGCTGCGCAGGTCCTGGCCTTCACCGCTGTGCTGATCCCATCCAAGGTGGGCAGCTAGTTTTTTATGCTTCTTCTAAGTCAGCATGGATTTTGCTGTCCTTTCATCCATCCCTTCAGGCATCAGGGTTTTGGGCGTTGACCTCGGACCATTTACATGCTGACACAACCACGCGTGACCCAGCAGCTGAGGAGGTGCAGGTGTCCTCATCCTCCTCAACTGTCATTTTCAAAGCAGCTCCAGGAAGAACAGGGGAACCATCATTTCAGCAGGGGAGACGGGCAAGGATCAGCCCTGGGAAAGCTGCCGCTGCCATCAGACCCACACCTCGTGCATCAGCTTCACCGCTTTTAATC